TTTCTTTTCATGATCAGCTGATCTTGATATGAGGGCAGTGATCACAGAGGGAGGCTTGATGTTGATTGGAAGCTGAGTGCAGATGTCCACAAGCGACAGTGTTTATTCCTTTATCTTGCACATATACTGAGTATTTTCATGAAAAAACACACGGTTTGTTAATGGTATCAGGGTGAGCTTGCTAACTGACAGAATAACCACTGTTCGTCGTTCTCATTGGCTGTTGAAAATGAAAGGGCGGGCTCATGTTGTTGAGCCTAAGCGATGATTGGCTTACGCTGCTTCCGCACAGCTGTGCATTAAAGTACAGTACACAACACCGACAGAAGGCTGAGGAGCTGCTTGGTAAAGAAGCTGTACAATTTCCTTTTTAGGAAATAAAAAACACTTTTTCTGTCAGATATTTTCCACGTTTCCTCTGACCTAAAGGTAGGTTTGTTCACATATTATCTCCCGCTGTGACAATATTCTGCCTAAATCTGCTGTTCGTTGTCGTAATAGGATGCACTGTCACTGACTAAGAATGACGAGTTAAACTTGGTGATAAAAGTTGATAATTTCAAACGATAGAGGAGTTAAAGATACGTATTTAAAGTCTGTTTGTTAGCTATCTCGACGAGTAATTATTTAAACCAAAATGTAAGTTTTTCATAGTGTTTAATAATTACCGCCCACCCATTGGAAGTCCAAAAATGAGTTATTACCTGCACACCTGTATCTAATGTCCTAATTATGACAGCAGGAGAATCACATGTAGACTGCACTCACCAATACAAATTATCCAATACAAATTACACACACACCATGACCATGCACCAGCCATACTTTGGTACACACAAAGACAAATGAACAACCAGTTTTATAGACTAGTTGAAGTTAAGCCATATTATTCTCTGCAGGTTCTCAAATACAAGGGTCAGTTAACATCTGTCTTTTGCATCATGTTTTTTTAAGTCATAATTCTTTCCACTTTTGCAGAGAACAACATTAATTTCACATTTTTAAAATCTAAAATACAAGAATCTTCTGGTGACAGTGAATGCATCTTCCCCCCTTATTTGTTTTTACATTTGTTTTTATGTGATTTTACCACATCCTCCCGGATAAAACCTCCACTTTAGTTTTCTCTGAGCAGCACAGAGTCAAGAAGGAGGAGGGACTGTTCCAGCTGGGTTGTTGAACTTAGAGAAAAAGGAATCCAGCCTTTCACTGAGTTGAGTTGCTCGTTCTAATAAGATGTCTTTAACCTCAAGAGTTCATTCAACCTGACTCCTTTCCTTTCATTTTCAACCTGAAGGACGGGAAACAGATATGATTATCAAATTGTTGCATTATTTCTTCATTTTAAGATCACAAAGTGATAAGCTAAAACTTAATGTATTGCTTTGGGAAGGCTGCAAGGTTGCAGAGACAAATAAGGACTGGATTTTCAAAGAAAAATAAAGAAGGAAAACTTAATGCAACATCAGTTCTTTAATATTTATCATGTTGAGAAATATCTTGAATCGCAACAATAACATTACTACATAATCATAATTTCAGACATTGTGTGAACCTTAAATAGTTTCTTTATTTTAGAGTTCACACAGATTTTTATTTTTCCTCTGAGTTCTACTTTTTATTCAACCTTTTAAAAAAAGTAATGTACCTAAACGAACCTTTAAGTCCGAGCTCTTAACACTGAATGAATCTGCTTTTGTTCACCAGAAGATGGCGCAGTGGAACCAGCTTCAGATGCTGGACTGCAAGTACCTGGAGCAGGTGGAGCAGCTTTACGATGACTCGTTCCCCATGGACATCAGGCAATACCTGAGCAAGTAGATCGAGAGCATCGACTGGTGAGAGGTTTTTTTTTTGTAAAGTAGAACAAAAGTTTTTACTTTACCAGAATAGAGATCAGAGCCTCATTTGTCTTGTGCTCCGTGCCTCCTCAGGGACACAGTGGCGATGCAGGATTCCTTAGCCACAGTTCAGTTCCACGACCTCCTGGCTCAGCTCGACGACCAACATAGCCGCTTCGCCCTGGAAAACAACTTCCTGCTACAACACAACATCCGCGAGATTAAGAGGAACCTACAGGTCAGAACATTTATAATGCCCCCTGTCATGTAATGATCACATTTTGACAGAACTTATCCATCTTATCCAATAAAATCCATCATTTTATTTTTGATTTAATGTCTGTTTTAAATGATTTCTGTAATTACTCGATGTCATTGTAAATGAGGGTTGCCCCTCAATGATCTTTCGAGTATAAAGATAAAGATAAAGATAAACTTTATTGATCCCCGTGGGGGAAATTTGTGCATTACAGCAGCTCCAGAAAACAGGGGATGGGAATATACTTGTAAAAAATACAGTAATGTAAAAAAATACAATAATGTAAAATTACACAGTAAAATAAAGGCTCAACAATAACAATAACATTCAACCTTTATGAATATCAGTGAGTAAAATATTCAAAGCACATTAGTAAATGTTAACTGGATGCCGACCCTCCTGTCGGATTACCTGAGCTATGAGCTCTGGAGTCGCCACATTAACGATGTCAAACGGACCGAACCTGGAGCGCCAGATGGGCCCGAACAATCTCTTCTGTACATCCTAGAAACACCAAGTCAGTGTGTAGAATGAAAAGTGTAAATTTAAGAAGAAGTAATAACATCTCTACAATGTGTAAATGAATGAATTTACCAGAAACATGTGCAGGGAAGAGAAATACTTTTATACTTTTAAAAACACAGTTATTCTACCTGCCAAGTCTCCTCATATAAAACATATCAGGAAAAATCATTTAGAATTTTTTTAACCCTTAAACTAATTGAATCAATATTGCACTACATTAAAATCTATATTATTTCTAGTATAGCAGAGTGTGTCTGCTTCATCTATCAATGTGACACACTTTAGATTAGACGACAGACTTTCATACATAAATCCCCTGCAGTGAGCTTCTGGTACTGGACAAAATCCTGTTAAAGATGTGTGTGTGTGCGCGTGCGCGTGTGCGTGTGCGTGTGCGTGTGTGTGTGTGTGTGTGTCGGTAGTAAAAGAAAGAAAATAAAAAATATTTTGATTATAATTTAAAGTGTTTAAAGCTTTTAGTGTAAATCTTCCAGATTCTCCATCTCTACACTGCTTGTTGTGTCTATACTGCCCCCAATGGACAAAATGTGGAACTACATTTGTGTTTTAAAAAACATTTTATTTTTTCCCACTCTTGAGAGCGTAGTTAGCTCATATATGTCTTGAAAAATGAAACATTAGCTATTCTGTCGACAATCGAAGGTATTTATTTAATTTAAACTAAAATGGTCTTAGTTTTAGACTACAAATCGTTGGTACACTGTCCCCATCGACCCCGAACGGAAGTGGGGAAATATTGGATGTTAAATGAAACAGCATAGTTTGGCTGCCATCTAGTGGACCAAACAATGATGTAAGACTCTAATTAAAAGGCATAGGTTGAAAATAAATGTATTTTATCGTTTATAAATCACTTTATATGGAGAGGGCGCCCTCTGGTGGTTAGTTATAAAAATTAAAATAAATGCATTTTATCGTTTATAAATCACTTTATATGGAGAGGGCGCCCTCTGGTGGTTAGTTATAAGAATTAAAATAAATGTATTTTATCGTTTATAAATCACTTTATATAGAGAGGGCGCCCTCTGGTGGTTAGTTGTTGGTTACTGCACTTAAATAATAAATGAATCAGACTGCTGTTTCTTTGAGTAAATTAAACACAGAAGGCTGGATGAAGAACTTTTACTTTTTAAATGAAATAAATGAATTTTATTCATATAATTTGAGGAAGATGAACATTTAATCTCTGAGCTCTGTGAACAGTAATGTTTAGAAAATCATTTTACCTCTGAGCTGCAGCACAGAGCGAGGAAACACCTGCACACACCTGTACAAACAAACAAGAAGAAAATACAGAATTTTGCTATACAGAAGTAACTGCACTATTTATATTTTTCCACACATTTATGTGTTGGAAAAAAAGGTTAAAAAGAGGATACATTTCTGTTATAGTGACTGTTGGATGTAATTACAACCCATCGCCAGCAGAGGGCAGCAGTGTAATATGAATGCATGATGCAGCGGTTAATTAGACCTGACGAGGCTGTTAACCTCCAGGTGAGCTGTGTTGTAATATTTACAGTCTGTGGTTGTAAAGTGTAGAAGTTACATTAAAGCCACAAAGAGTTAAAACCTTCAACATCATGTAGATCATTTGAAGCACAACAAAGCATTTAATTATTATGAAATATATACTTTAAAACACGCAGTGCTACTAAGCTGTGGAACGGAAGTGGGGAAAGATTGGATGTTAAATGAAACAGCAGAGTTTGGCTGCCATCTAGTGGACAGGATTAGTAACTACAGTCAAACTATAGAGTTTATGAGTTTGTTTATGATTATTTCCTGATGTTTGTTGCTGTTTTTGTTGTTGTAGGCCATGTCCCTGCCTGTTGTTGTCATCTCTAACGTCTGTCAGCTGCCCAGCGGCTGGGCCTCCATCCTCTGGTACAACATGCTGACCTCCGAGCCCAGGGTACACAACCAGGACTCTCATTGATGATTACAGATGTTTACTTATCACAAATATCAAACATACAATTAGGTGATATCTTAATGATTTAAACAAGTTTCACAGCTGCCACCTTAAATTCATAAACAGACCATTAATACAGTCTAAATGTTGACGCGTGTATAGCTGTTTTACGGTTGGCCTTTTGAGTATATTTTGATGCCTGTGCTTTTTATATGAAGTAAGGTTTTGAATAAAGATCTTCTATTCGTAACAGAGTATCTTTAACTGTAGTTTTAAACCAGATGGTTTGACTTTTTGTGTTTCCATCTCTTCTTCTTTCCTCTCCTCTCCCTCAGAATCTGAAGTTCTTCCTCAGCGCTCCGCAGGCCAAGTGGTCTCAGCTGTCCGAGCTCCTCAGCTGGCAGTTCTCCTCCGTCACCAAGCGAGGCCTGAACCAGGAGCAGCTCAACATGCTGGCTGACAAACTGCTCGGTAGAAATACTTTTCTTTAACAGATAAACACCTGCAGGACTTTCAAACAGGCCTTTAACTTTTATTTATTTTTATCTTCAGGAGCCAAAGCCAAGAGGAACCCAGAGGGACAAATCCCCTGGACCAAGTTCTGCAAGGTGAGCCCCATTCAGCCTGAGATTTAAGATTGTCAACATCTGTGATACTTTTTAATACCACAAGTTAAAAATGAATAAAATCTGTATTCAAATCTGTAATTTAACCAAAAGCTGCAAAAAGAGAAACATGTACAGGTTAGCAGATACTAATGAAGTCTTTTTGGTGCATCATAAAGTTAAAACTACATCTTCTCTTTGAACTAAATGTATTTGTCTGTGAGCAGAGTGCGAACGAGAAAGTGTATTCCTTCTGGTTGTGGATCGAAGGAATCCTGGATGTGATTAAAAGACACCTGCTTTCCCTTTGGAATGACGGGTGAGTGCTGCCGTCTTTCTTCAGTGTCAAGACACTTTTCTGAGATGTCAGGAGTTTTTCAGGAGTTTTCTGCAAGTGTGAAACCCCTTTAGTCTGTCTTCTAAAGGGGTCTGTCTAAGACAGACTAAGACAGAATAACCTGTCCTCTGATTGTAAGCAACACTCTCTTTTCTTTTTTTTCTTCTGAAGAAAGCAAATCAATTCTTTTCTTCTTTCTGAGTGCAGACTTGGAGTGAGACCAAAACTGTCAACTGAGAAGTTTCTTCATTTCATCCAAGTCTTCTTTCTGTACTCTCTTTCAGTGTCTTTGTTTCGTCAGTGGTTGAACTCTGATGATCATTTTATCTGCTCTTAGAGGTGTGGTAAAAACCCTCACTACTTTTAAGTTAGATACAGGTCAGTGCAGTAACCAGTCACCTTCTAGACACATTTGAGTGATTACATTCACTCTACTTGGAAGTCAAAGAATTTAGATTTTTGCCCGATATTACGAGGCAGAAAAGGCTTAAAAAGACGTGGATTCAAAACAAAAACCCTTATCTGCCAGCTGTGTTTTATTTAGTTATAGTAGTTTACAGCTTTCATTGTCTGTTTTCTTTGATTTTGAGGAAACTTGTTTATTGTAGTCTTTAATTATCTACCACTAATAAGAAAATAAGAAAAATATATTGCCTAATATGTCATGGGAACACAATCTGCTTTCTTCCTCAGTAGTGAAACGCTCCAACGTACACAAGAATATGCAATCAATGAAGTTACACTTCAGATTCTTTGAGAGACTAACATGCATGTGTGATTAACAGACAATGGATTTTAATTAACATAAGCAGTAAACAGTTGCTTTTTATAATTAAAAAATATGTTATCTGTGATTAAGTCAAGTCACATTTATTTATAAAGAAATAAAACAAAGAAAGCAGTTTGAATTTGTATCTAGAACAAGAAAGGTGAAAAAACAAAACTTCCAAATGCAGTAATTCACAGAGTGACCACAGGAGGGCGCAGTTTCACCTTTAAACTCCATCTTTACACATTAGTATCTCAAACTAACTTCGGAGCTTCAGTACAAAGTTTTCACTCATCCCGTGTCTTCATTTATCTGCTTCTTAGACACTTTGGAGAACGACAGGGAGAGGAAGAGAGAAACTGGAGGTAAACATCATTCAGCAGTGAATTTATCTGTGAGTAACAATTCAGTCAGTGTCCTAAAGACCGGAAAACAGGTTAGCTTCGTCTCCTGCTAACGAATGCAGTTACCGGTAGTTACCATGGTGACCCGAGTTTGACTTTCTCATGTTGGTTACCAAGAGTTCAAAGTTTAAAAAAAACATAAAAACAAGTAAATTACATTAATAAATATTTTTTATCAATAAAACATTTGATTTTTGACTTAGTCTTGTTTATGTGTCCTCTTATTTATAACTTTTTCGTTTCTTCCATAGAAACTTTCTGCGACACTTCCGGTTGAAGCTTCCGGTAATCACGCCCAGGTGTGTTCAGGTGTTCTCAGGTGTGTATATCATTGTTTCGAGCAGGTAAGCGGTGCGGACCGCGGGCAGCCTGGCTGTGGATCAAAGCGGTGGAAGAAGAAGGAGCCGGGGAAGGAGAGATGAAGTCTAGATACTCAGTGAGTCTTTAAAAGTTCAGTTTTGTGTGAAAAGCCACAAAATAGAAACACGTGGGGCTGTATGCTAATGCTAACACGTGGGCTAATGCTCATGCTAAATGTTTGTTAAGAGGAAACATCGTCAAAGTAAGATGATGATAACATTTATCAACATTATGAAGGTCACTTTTGAACTTGTTTTCTCCTGTTAAACTAATTGTTTAAACACCGGGTAAAAGTAAACTTTAAAAACAAAACTTATAATTTAAACTAATATCAGATTGAAGAGTTTAAATAAAACAATAACCTCAATTTAAGTTTATTGACTAATATGTAAACTAGTTAATCCGAGGTAAAATGATTTTCTAAACATTACTGTTCACAGAGCTCAGAGATTAAATGTTCATCTTGATAAAGTAATATGAATTTAAATTTAAAGCTTTTAATCCAGTTTTCTGTGTTTAATTCAAACTCAAAGAAACAACCAGTCTGATTAATTTATTTTAAACCTTTAACTTTAATTTGAGTCTTTGTTCTTGTGGCAGTTAATGTATGGTAAAGATGTTTCTTAAGACCTTATACTTAATGTTTCTATATTATATTCTACATTTAAACTTTTATTTAAGTTTGCTTCAGTCTCATAGAAAAGCCTTAAAGTGAAGTTAAACACAGATAATTTACAGTGAATGATGAAACTCAGGTTTATTCCAGTCATCACAATGTTTTATAATCACAAACAGTTTGAGTTTTATTAACTTGATGAACTAAAATGTGTTTTTCTTCTCCAACAGGAACTCTGTCGACGTCTTCCTGCTCAGGTAGGAGACTCAAAGCTTTCTTAATGTTGTTTTATTATGTTCCAGGTTTTAGGTCTTATAGATGTTTAGACTCAGTTATTTTAATCATTTCATCCTTTTTGGAGTGGAGGAACATCAGGTGTTTAATGAAGTAAGGATTATAAAAATGTAGTATTTCATTAAACACCTGATGTTCCTCCACTCCAAAAAGGATGAAATGATTAAAATAACTGAGTCTAAACATTTATGACCTAAACCTGGAACATAATAAAACAACATTAAGAAAGCGTTGAGCTCCTACCCAATGGGGACGCCTGTGACGCCTTATTGTATTGTGCTTATGTGACATGTACAAAAAACAGAGGTCATGGCTGTTCAATATTTTATTGTAATAAAACTACTGCTCTGTCCACTTGGCAACAGTGACTTCTGTAATTATGTTCTGGTTATCTGCCAGGTGTGTTTTATTTATAGTAGCTTACAGGTTTCATTGTTCAGAGGAAACTTGTCTGTAGTGATCTACCCAGTAAGCATGTTTCCTAATGGAAATTTATCAAATGTTAAAAAATATCCAAACTTCGAATGAAAACAAAGAAGGAAACAACTACAACAAAACATCTATTAGGAATTGAAGATGCTGACAACACAAACATGAAACAAATTAAGACTTTAAAATTATTAAATTGTGTTATCAGTGTTTTAAGAGAAAACTGCAAATGAAAATTAAAGAAAACAGATTAAACTAAATCTATAGCTGAAAGATAAGAACAACAAACTATGACTGAGAAAACTAAAACAGCTAACAAGTAAACTTTAATCTGAAGAAAATCCTTCCAGCTGCAGCACAGATCCTACTCTTCAGAGTTCAGAAACAGGAAACACCTGGAATATAAGAAACAAAGACATCAGGGTTTAAAGTTCATGTCAGGTTGCATCTATGGGTAATTTACAGCTAGGATTGTAAAATGAGCCATTCTGATGCATTACTAATTTTTAATCATTTAATTAAGTCAAAAGAATCTCTACATCAAAGAGAGTGTTAAGATTAAAATTTAAACATTTGTAGCATCATTTACATTTTTCCCTACGAATAAAATCAAGAATATGACTGTATGTGACTGAAACTGTTAAAATAAACACAAGAGCCAAGAAAAATACTCACCAAATGTTGAAGGAAGCAGGTGAGGCAGCGTGGTGTAGCATACATGTTAACAGCTCTTTGTCTTGTTTTGGTCAGGCTGCCCCTAAAAGTTACAACAAAAAAAAAAACATCACAATTAGTTTAAACTTAAAAATGTTAGTTATTGTAAAGTGTCTGGAGACAAGTGAATACAAATGGACTGATTCATGAAAGTTAACATTAAGTTTGTTCATCATGTCACATTAGACCTGTTTTTTGGGGGGAGAGAGAGAGAGAGAGGTGTTACATCTGTGATCAGGTTCAGCTGTAGTGCATTAGTCCTTAATGTCGTTGGTTATCTGCCAGCTGTGTTTTATTTAGTTAAAGTAGTTTACATGTTTATTGTTAGCCGATAAATCTGTCACCCAAAAGGAGAAGTCAATCAAATCCTTTTGAGGACCAAGACCTTGAACCTCGTCATACAGAGCACTGATAATAACTTTAATTATCTGTGGTTTTTAACATCCTCTCTCTCTAGAGCTGCTGGTTGAGTGTGTGAAGAACAAGGACTTAAAGAAGGTGAGTGACAGTTTCATCTCTCACTACAGACCTTTGCACCTCATTTCTACATACTCACATGTGTCTTTGAATTGAATCAGCACCTGGAGGGAGCCGACCTGACGTCACTCGACTCGTCCGGCTGCAGGTTACGTCATCACGCTGCCAGTGCAGGAAGCCAAGAGATGGTCCTCTACATCCTCCACAGGTGTGTGTACAGTCCTCCACGTGTTTGGTGCTCGTAGGTTGACAGTCAGACAAACTCCTCTTTTCATTTCTTCACCAGATTGAATAAGGAGTGAAAACTACAAGACACAAGAACATTTAGTTTAGTCATAACCAAAGTTCTACAATGAACAATAAACTAATACACAACAAAAGAAAGCTTAGTTGTTAACTTCAGTCCAGTGAAGAAACTTACATTTCTGTTGCTGCCTGCTGTGTGCAGCCTTGAAGATGAAAGAAGGAACCCTTAACTTCCTGCTTCCTTTATAGGCAGGGCTTGATGAGTCACTTCCTGTAGCAGTCTCTGACAGGCCAACAGGGGGTGCCATTGCACCATGTGTAGCTCATTTAAAGAATCCTTAGTAGTTGTTGTTTTTTAACCATTAATGAATGTATGTGGGTTCTTTTCAAAATAGGAATATGATGTTTTTTTCTTTCTGTATTTTAGTGTTTGAATAAATGGGAAACTTTCAATGACAGGCTTGTAAAACAAAAAGTCAGTTCAATCAATCTTTATTTTGTAGAGCGCCAACTCAATACAAATATCAAGACACAAAAAGCAGGTAAGAGAGAGTCTTGCAGGGGGGCCACTGCTGATGTCTGTTCCTCGGGTGATGTTGTCAGATGCTGTAATCTCTCTCTCTCTCTCTCTCTCTCTCTCTCTCTTCTGTTGACCAGGGGGGAGACGGTCCTTCACCGAGCTGCGTCCCTGTCTCAAAGAACTATCTGTCATTATCTGGTCCAAGCAGGAGCCTCGCTCATCAAGACAGACCTACAGGTACAGTTCAGCTCGCACCCAAAACAGACGCTAACCTGCAGGTTTTAAAATGGATATCTGCGTCCAATTCTCACCATCAGTGCAGTCTGTGTGTGTTCGCCTCAAACCGGCATCTTCTCTCATTTTGTTCACATTTCCATGGAGGTTTGGAGCCTCACTGGCTGGACTCAGCAATGACCTCGATACAGAGAGAGGAGAGGCAGACAGTGACATTTCTACATAAATAGTTTCTTTCTTGGTGTTCACATATCATGTAAACAGTGTCTCTAGTGACTTCACTGATGCTCCATATTTTACTTGAGCTCCTTTTAACTTTGAACCATATTATCCTGATATATGATTGACCATATGTATATATAATAAATCAAATCTTATGTCATGGTGGGAACAATGGACCATTAATGAATTTAGGTTAGTATGTCGTTTAAGAAAAAAAGTTAGTAAGTAAATTATATTAAGTAAATTAAGTAAGTTTCATCCAACACACAAATCAAATAAAACGGACAATACAACTTTAAACTAAATCTATAACTAAACAAAGCTACAGCTGGAAGATAAAAACAACAAACATTAAAGACTAGACAACAGCTAAAAGGTAAATAAAACAACAGCTAACAAGTAACCAAGACAACAGCTAATAGGTCAATAAAACAACAGCTACCAAGTAACCAAGACAACAGCTAATAGGTCAATAAAACAACAGGTAAAAGGTAAATAAAACAACAGCTAAAAGGTAAATAAAACAACAACTAAAAGGTAAATAAAACAACAGCTAAAAGGTAAATAAAACAACAGTTAAAAGGTAAATAAAACAACAACTAAAAGGTAAATAAAACAACAGCTAAAAGGTAAATAAAACAACAGCTAACAAGTAACCAAGACAACAGCTAATAGGTCAATAAAACAACAGTTAAAAGGTAAATAAAACAACAACTAAAAGGTAAATAAAACAACAGCTAAAAGGTAAATAAAACAACAGCTAACAAGTAACCAAGACAACAGCTAATAGGTCAATAAAACAACAGCTACCAAGTAACCAAGACAACAGCTAATAGGTCAATAAAACAACAGTTAAAAGGTAAATAAAACAACAGCTAAAAGGTAAATAAAACAACAACTAAAAGGTAAATAAAACAACAGCTAAAAGGTAAATAAAACAACAGTTAAAAGGTAAATAAAACAACAACTAAAAGGTAAATAAAACAACAGCTAAAAGGTAAATAAAACAACAGCTAACAAGTAACCAAGACAACAGCTAATAGGTCAATAAAACAACAGTTAAAAGGTAAATAAAACAACAACTAAAAGGTAAATAAAACAACAGTTAAAAGGTAAATAAAACAACAACTAAAAGGTAAATAAAACAACAGCTAAAAGGTAAATAAAACAACAGCTAAAAGGTAAATAAAACAACAGCTAAAAGGTAAATAAAACAACAGCTAACAAGTCAACCAAAAAAGCTAACAGGTAAACTAAGACAACAATCTCTTCATCCAGCCTTCTGTATTTAATTTACTCAAAGAAACAGCAGTCTGATTCATTTCTTATTCAAGTGCAGTAACCAACAACTAACCACCAGAGGGCGCCCTCTCTATATAAAGTGATTTATAAACGATATAATGCATTTATTTTAAACCTATACATTTTAATTAGAGTCTTACATCATTGTTTGCTAAATTATTTATATTAAAGCTGCATTTTTACCTTAGACCTTTTCCTAGTAGCTTTCATTTTACTTTTCAAACTTTTAATCAATTTAATTAGTTTATTGTCGTTTGGTTTTCTTAATGAAAATACCACAAACCTTTTTATTGATTTAATTGAAATGATCAATTTGATTGAATTTATTTTTATTATTTTTTTCTTACAGCTCATTGAGCTAGTTTAGATTAAACATAAATTAAAAGGAAACATTTACAAGTTAAAAAGGATTATCACAGACTTTTAGTTTAGGAGCATCGATGGCTCATTTACAGCTAGGATTGAACAATACGTGAAAAGTAAATGGGCCATTCTGATACATTACTCATTTTAAATTAACTGTTTCTTTCATCTGAAAATACTTCTTACCTTTGTGAAAGAAAAGTCAAATAATATTGTTGCCACGAGCGGATCAAATACGAGGAGGAGCAACCTGTACAAACAGCTGGATGACAAGAATAGACTAAAGTCAAAGACAAGACACAACATTAGAAGCACAGTTTGAAGACAACCTGCTTAAAGATTCTAAATACAAATACTTTCATTTTCTCAATTATTATTACTTGATGTCCTTTTCTTGTAATAATTCACAGGATGATGAGATCAACCAACAGAGTCTGCTGGCTGACAAACTCAAGGAGCAGAAGATGGACACAAATCCGTTTGTACATCTCCACAAAACTCTGGAGAACCAGCTCACCACAAGCAGCTCAGCCGCCTCAGACACCAGATCCAAGACCAGCAGAGGATGATGGACGAGCTCATTCATTTACAATCATAAACTACTTCAATTAGAAGTGCCAGATTTTATCCACTCAAGAAGACATCAACATTAACTCTGGCCACATTATACATTTTATTTTTTTTACTTTTTGTTTGAACCAGGGCCTGTTACTGGAGCAGACTCATGACAGACAGCTGGAGAAAGATGCAACACTACAGAAGCTCATGTATGTACCAACTAACACATCACATCTCCATTATTCATTAGTCTGTGTGTCCTCAATTCATCCACATTTTGTGTCCAGACTGCTGAACGATCAGAGGATCTGAAGGGCCTCCAGGACACGGTGTGAGTATTTCATCCCCCCATTTAAAGTGTCATGTCATTTAAAAACCCAACAGCTTTTGGTCCTCCTTGTCTGAACTCAGCTGAGGGTAGTGTTGTAGTCAAGAGCACACTAAGACCACACAGAGTCACAAATATGTGTGTGTGCAGGGGACGTTTTACTCACTTGGAGCGTAACACCAGGAAGGTTGTGGTCGTAACCGGGGACTGAAGTTATTTGATGTTTTTACCTTCTAGTCCCAGACCGAGACCTTCAAAATGTGGACTCTGATTGGCCTGTTTTTGTTAACGATGCTGAGGTTACCAAAGCAACAGATCACAAAAGTTCAAATGGACTCAGGAGAAGATCGAGAAACATCCATCCAACGCAAGCAGACGAAATCATTTGAATGATCACCTGTCTGTCCATGTAGCTTTGTTTCTTTTCATCTGAACTCCTCGGTCTTCTTATATCTGTGAATCTGTAGCTCTGGATTTATCAACAGGAAGTGCTCTGGATTTATCAACAGGAAGTGCTCTGGATTTATCAACAGGAAGTGCTCTGGATTTATCAACAGGAAGTGCTCTGGATTTATCAACAGGAAGTGCTCTGGATTTATCAACAGGAAGTGCTCTGGATTTATCAACAGGAAGTTATAAAGGAAACAGGAAGTTGAGGATTCTTTCTTTAATCTGCACACAGCGTGCAGCAACAGAAATGTAAGTTTCTGTACTTAAGTTAAAGTTTAACATTAGCATGTAGCTTAACATTAGCATGTAGCTTAACATTAGCATGTAGCTTAACATTAGCCTCGTTATAATTTGTGACGTATCGCATCTGATGTAGCATACCACGTGGCTTAGCATTAGCATGTAGCTTAGCATTAGCATGTGGCTTAACATTAGCCTCGTTATAATTTGTGACGTATTGTATCTGATGTAGCATACCACGTGGCTTAGCATTAGCATGTAGCTTAGCATTAGCATGTAGCCGCCGTATGTCTTCTCTGCAGCCTTCAGTATTATGAGTTTGGTGAGTCAGAGCGACACACACACACGATGAGTCATGACATGTCAAAGAAGACGATTGAAACAACTTGAACAACTTAAAAAAACAGTTTTTATTTCAAGTCAAACATTTTTAACCTTCTCTCTACAGATAGATGAACCAGACCTTTTCATTTCTACTCACATGAGTCATGCTGTGCTCCTCCATGAGGAACCTCTTTGTCTCTGTTAGTCTAAACTAAATGTAAACTTTGTCTTTGTTAGTCTAAACTAAATGTCAACTTTGTCTTTGTTAGTCTAAACTAAATGTAAACTTTGTCTTTGTTGGTCTAAACTAAATGTAAACTTTGTCTTTGTTAGTCTAAACTAAATGTAAACTTTGTCTTTGTTAGTCTAAACTAAATGTAAACTTTGTCTTTGTTAGTTCAAACTAAATGTAAACTTTGTGTTTGTTAGTTCAAACTAAATGTAAACTTTGTTGGTCTAAACTAAATGTAAACTTTGTTGGTCTAAACTAAATGTAAACTTTGTCTTTGTTGGTCTAAACTAAATGTAAACTTTGTTGGTCTAAACTAAATGTAAACTTTGTTGGTCTAAACTAAATGTAAACTTTGTTAGTTCAAACTAAATGTAAACTTTGTTGGTCTAAACTAAATGTAAACTTTGTGTTTGTTGGTCTAAACTAAATGTAAACTTTGTCTTTGTTGGTCTAAACTAAATGTGAACTTTGTTAGTTCAAACTAAATGTAAACTTTGTTGGTCTAAATTAAATGTAAACTTTGTCTTTGTTAGTCTAAACTAAATGTAAACTTTGTTGGTCTAAACTAAATGTAAACTTTGTCTTTGTTGGTCTAAACTAAATGTAAACTTTGTGTTTGAATTGCAGGAGCTGCACCTGAAGGGAGCAAAGAGATGATCTCCTCTTTTCATTTCTTCACCAGATTGAAGGAGTGAAAACTACAAGACACAAGAAGTTTAGTCATTACCAAAGTTCTGTATAAATTCAAACAATAAACTAATACAAGTTGTTGCTAATGCTAAGCTACATGCTAATGCTAAACCTTAACTTCAGTACAGGAACTTACATTTCTGTTGCTGCGTGCTGTGTGCAGATTAGAGAAAGAACCCTGAACTTCCTGTTTCCTTTATAACTTCCTGTTCCCTGAATGATCCAGAGAGAGGAGAGGTGTTCTTGGTGTTCACATGTCATGTAAACAGTGTCTCTAGTGACTTCACTGATGCTCCATA